TGTTAGTGGGGATGGAGGATATACAGAAGCAGCTTCCCCACGAGCAACAGGAATTTCGGGAAATTAAATCCTTTGTCGCTTCCGTTGGGCCCGGGCCGCCCGATGGCCGCCCGATGGCCGCCCCGCGCGGGCGACATGATAAGGGGCGTGTGGTCAGTGGACGGCGTCTGGACGAAGAGGAGGAGCGGCCGGAGCGGCGACGTGTAACGCAACTTTAACGCGGTCCCGCCGCTCCAGCCGCGTGTGCCAGGCCTCATTCATTCTCCCTCCAGCGTCTTCTGGAACAAAAAAAAAGAAAAGAAAAAAGGAGTAAACAAGTTCCAGGTGTTTTAAGCTATACCTTTATAATTAAGTCTATTGTTGGCTACTGTATCATTATAAATATCATCTCAAAAACAGAGACAAATAAACCATATAGTTGTTATCAATGTTGTGAAATATTTTGTATCATGTGAAAAAAAGGTTGTTGTGATTAGAAAAAAATACAATTGTTTTAAAAGGATGCACTGTTAAAACCTTACAAAGCAATGCTTTGTAATAGTAAGCATTTGCTTTGTAATACTAAGCATAATTAGCTTTGCAACTTCCAGTGCAAATTTTATCCTTTGTATCGTAGAGGTGCGGAATGCGTCGCGCAAGCAGCGAAGTTTCTTAAGATTTAACAGTGAACTAATAATGATTGTTGACATCCGTTTGGCGAACGAGAAATGGGAATTCGATATGTAGTCGCACTTTTCTGGCTGATACGTTTCCCGCCGCGTCCAGTTTCCCCGTGGGTGTCGCGGGGCGCCGCCGGGCCCGCACGCAACTGGGCGCGCCTCGCCGTGGACTTGAGGCGTTCCGTCCGCCCTGGACGCGTTTGTTGTATACTAATATGTCAGGAGCGGCGTGGGCCGTGGCGGCCGGAGTAGCTAGACGGTTACTGCCTATGCCAATAATTACATACACTGGAAGACAGACCACAGAATCAGACTTCCCTCGCAGCTTCCTATACACCACGCCGCCTGAGTGGCGCAGTAGTAGTTGTTTGCGATTACCCGACTGAAGGGGAAAAAAAGAAAAGAAACGGATCAACCGTAAAATGTCTTGCTGCAGCTACTACTACTTGTCTCGGCCGGGCGTCGACCACACACCGCGAAACTAGGGTTGCTTCCGCCCGACTTAACGATCCGGTGCGGTGTAGTGCCGAGTGCGTGTGTGTGTGTGTGTGTGTGTGAGAGAGAGAGAGACTGCGTGTGTTCATTCTGCAACAAATACTGCTGCATTACCCCGGGCGTCCTTACAGAGCCATTTCTCTGTATTCCACGAAGAAACTCCTTCGGCGCCTGGCCCGTTCTCCTGGCGGCCGCGGGACGGCGCCAGACTTTGGTCAGCCGCTCTCTCAGTCGCCGGCCCCAATCACTACCGACAGGCGGCCGATAGCCGTGCAGGGGAGGCGCTGGCACCAACTCGGCCGGAGCTGAGGAAAACAAAAAAGAAATGATGGAAAACAGAGTGACGTCACAATATTTCTTTCTAGTCGCCAACCCTGCTTAGGACACCCCCTGCTCCTTAACGGCACCCTCAGGAGGTGCGCCCTACAAGCGCGTGCCGAGCAAGCAGGTCGCCGGGGAGACGACGGCGCAACAAGAGAGCGAGATAGAGAGAAAGACAGACACGGAGCCCGGAGAGCTGGAGGGCTCCCGGGAGCGCGCGCGCTGCCCGGCCCGGGCCCCAAATGTGTCGGGCATTTGTTTGCGGTGTCATGAAGCAGCCCCAGTCGATATGAGGGTAATAAATTGCTTCTGCCCGGGCAGCACACCGCGCAAGTTCGTACCCCTCTTCCCTTTACCCCCCCGCCGCCCCGCGCCCCAGTGTTTCTCCGACGAGGTACAAAGCGCATGCGGAGAATAATAAATTGATACACAATCACCCCTGCGGTCCGCGCGCCCGGCAGGAAATCAATCAAATTATCACATTAAACAACACGGGCGAACACGGCGGATACGAGGAGACGAGGCACCGACCAGCCTGACGAGAAAGGAAAAAGAGCTCAAAATTCACGCCATTTTCGTCTTTCTATCAATTCCTTCTCCTCCTCCGCCTACATCCTCCCCCCCCCCCCCCCCCCTTTCCCGAGCTACCCCTCCCTCCCCTCTCCCGCCGGCTGATTGATCCCCTCCGCCGGATCGACGACTGATCGACATGGTTTTCAGCTCCGAGGCTCTTAACGCCGAGTTATCTCCTAGGAGGATGCAGATGAGTGCGGCGGGGCGTGGCGGGGCGTGGCGGGGCCTAGCGGGCACGTGGCCTGGATTACGACGAGGAGTTAGTCATTCAACGAGTGGAGACGTCGTAATGACGCATTTTTTCTTCTTGTCCTCTCACCTCACAAGTCCTTATGGGCCTCTCTCGTATACACAAAGTTTTCAATCACGTCCAGACGAGAGATGCGCGCTCGATTTGTTGTGTTTGTCGACGGCGACTGCGCGGCCAGTATAACGCAACACTCGACGAATCAGAGTCGGCGAGCTGCGGCGGCTGGCGGCCGGCGCGGCCGACGGGGCTGGAGGGGCTGGCGGGGCTGGCGGTGTCGTCTGGTTACATTAGCACACCCACGTCCGTCCTGCCTAGGAGCCTTTCGCCGATCCTCCCTGCAAACAGTCGTAAAAAAAGATGCTGATTGCGCATGTGTGCGACTTGGAGCTGCAGTCCAGCCTCCGTCGGGCTGCCATAATAATATTAATGGAAAATACACAGAGCCGCTCAAGCAGACAAAAAAAAAGCGATCATTACGACACAAAAATGAAAACACGAAAAGAAATTTTCAACAACTCTATTGATTTTATAGATCAATCGGATCTATATTTGGAGATGTCTCGAACCGTGTTTCCTCCAAAAACTTAGAAAAAACAATTTCGGACTGGTTGACTTATTAATTAAGATATCCATATAAGGCACAGCAGGCGCCAGCATGGTAGCACCGTTCCGTTTTACAACAAGGCATAAAATAAAGTGAATCCTATTACGAGGTAAAAAAAAAAAAATTGTTTTCCATGTCAGCGCGTTTAAACCCCGAACACCAAAAACGTCCGGATTCATCTTGTTCGTCGCGCGCTTCGAAAAGCTTTAGAACTTCATCAAAACCGGTCATCTTTTCCTTCCTATATCACGAGCGGCGATCACCACTCGCTCACCCTCGCGGTAATGTATGCATATAGCCAACTTGGGGAGAGAGAAAGGACGAGTGACAGAGAGGGAACGAGAGAAAAAAGTCCGCCATTTCCGAGAACCTCGGCTGAATCATCAGCGTTCGCAATCGTGTGGGCGGTCAAGTCAACCTCTCCCCTCTTCTCTCTCGGTTAACACTCCTTATTTATCTCTCTCTTTAATTCATTAAAAATATAACAACCTTTACAAACGCGTCTTTTAAGATAACACTTACGCTTAAAAAGTTGATCTGATATTTCATTTATTTTCCGTTTAAAGCTGCTTGATACATTGTTTTCTTAGCGCGCCGCGGAGAGAGTCTCCGGCGCCAGACCGCTGGCGCCGGGCCGTAGCCTTGGGCCCGGAGCAGATTGGCCACCGCCGACCTTTCCACACGCGGAGCGACGCGAAGCAAAGCGACGCTCGGCGCCAGCAGCTCAGCTTTATAACCAATTTCTCGAGGCAAATCTGCTGAGACAAAGGCCCGAGCGGCATCCGCGGTAACCAAATCCGCGGCGCGGCCCGTGAGGGGTCGGGCCGCAGCCGGCACTGCCACGTCACAGGTCTTTATGATTTGGGCCAGGCCGGCTCGGCTACCGCTGGCCTGACCCCTGGAGGTCAATGCCGACCCGGCGTGCGCCAAGCAGGACCCGCCGGGCCCCGCGCGCGAGTGGGCGAGGCCCGGCAACGGACGGGCACTGCAACCGCAACAGCCAGCCCGCTGCGTAGGCCGTCCCGCCGCGCAGGGCTGCTCACCAGGCCTGCCTACCCGCCGGGCGTCAGGCCGTCCCACCGCGCAGGGCTGCTCACCAGGCCTGCCTACCCACCGGGCGTCAGGCCGCCAGTTGCGTAGGCCGTCACGCCGCGCAGGGCTACTCACCAGGCCTGCCCACCCGCCGGGCGTCAGGACCCGCTAGGTGTCAGGCCGCCTGTTGCGTAGGCCGTGCCGCAGCGCAGGGCTGCTCACCAGGTCTGCC